GCGGGGAGCTGGACGCGCCAGCCCAGCGCCTCTCTCTGGCTTCCCCTGACAAAACACCCTCCTGACAAAAGCGATCCAGCACAGTTTTGAGTCCGGTGGCACCTTTTAAGGCCAACAAAGTTTTATTCCGGGCAGGAGCTTCGGTGTGCAGGCACACTTCCTCAGGCACAGTGAAGTGGAACGTGCCAGTCCATGCATATATAAGGCAGGGGTTGAAGGGCAAATTAGCATACAGTATAATGAAAATGTTTTAACGGATGCAAACAGGAATAACAAGCTACGTTTCTAAAGTCGTGGTTTGGATTTAATTCCGGGGAGGCAAATAAATATGTCAAAATTGGCAACTGGGTAAAGGCAACCTTCTTAAGTATGGAGTGCTAAGAGCAAGCATCCAAGACTCCTTTACTCTTCAAAACCTGTGCCCCAATCCTGTTTCTTCATCTACTTTGAAACCTTTTTTTAAAAAAATCCTGCACTGTCAGCACTATTTAGTTCTCACAATATTTTTGAAAAAACAAAAAAATCAAAGGAGGCAGACCAAAAACGATTAAATAAGAACACCAGAAGAGCCCTGCTGGATCAGACCACTGGTCCATCTAGGCCAGCATCCAGTCTCAGACAGTGGCCAACCAGTAGAAAAGAGAAAGACTCCAGTAATACCTTAGAGACTATAAATGTATGGCAAAGCCAGTTTAGTGTAGTGGGTAAGTGCACGGACCCTAATGTCGGAGAACTGGGTTTGATTCCCCACTCCTCCACTGGCAGCTGGTGGATGACCTTGGGCAAGCCATAGTTCTTTCAGAGCTGTCCTTGAAAGAGAGAGCTCTCTCTGCCCCACCTAACCTCACAGGGTGTCTGTTGTAGGGAGGGGAAGGGAAAGGAGTTTGTAAGCCGCTCTGAGACGCTGAGTGAAGGGCAGGGTATAAATCCAATCTCCTCCTCCTCCTCTTCTTCTCATAAGTCACTGCTCACTTAATGTGGAGGTTCCCCTCAGTCACCATCAATGTTCCCTCTAAGCTGTGGAGTCTTGTGAGCAAAAATTCTACTTTGTGAGCTACTGGCATTAAAGTTGTGAGCGAGCGATTTAGCTACTACATAAATTAGTTTGCTCTGGAGCCATCCTTCCTGAGCTAAGGCAAAAATGTGTGAGCTGGAGGCTAAAAAACTGTGAGCTCGCTCACACTAACCCAGCTTAGAGGGAACACTGGTCACCATGGCTAGTAACCATTGATAGACTTATCCCCTTTTAAAACTGTTTATTCCTGCGAATAGCCACCCTCCTCCACATCTTTTTTAAAAAACACCAATCCTTGACATAGGGTTGCCAATCTCCAGGTGGCACCTGGAGATCTCCTGCTATTCCAATCGATCTTCAGATGACCAAGGTCAGTTACCCTGGAGAAAATGGCTGCTTTGGGGGGTGACCTCTGTGGCATTGTACCCTGCTAGGGTCCGTCCCCTCCTCAAACCCCACCCTCCCCAGGCTCCACCCCAAATCCCCAGGTATTTCCCAACCCAGAGCTGGAAACCCTAAGCGATGTTTTGGACTGCATACATATGTTCTGTCAAGTCATAGCTGATTTACGGCGACCCCAGCAAGGGGCTTTCAGTGCATGCGAGATGGAGAGGCGCTTTGCCGTGGCCTTCCTCTGCAGAGTCTTCGTTGTTGATTGGTGTCCCGTCCAAGCAGTGTTCCCTCCAAGCAGTGCCTGTGAGCGGCCGCTCATTGACACAGGAAGCCCCGCTCAGCAGCAGTCTGGAGCCGCGTAGGGTCTGGCACTACCCATGGCCCGTTTTGAGATTACTAAAAAAAGACCAGAAACCCATGAATATAATAACGAAGACTTTATAAAAATAACTTGTAAATTTTTGTCAAATGTTCCATTCTGAATATTATATGAAATATCTCTGGTGTCAGTTCAAAATGGAAACAACCTCCGAGTCCCAACAAACTTCCTATCTGAGTTAGTCCTTCTCAGTGAAGGAAAAAAGTCCGAGGTTGATGGAGACAAGGCAATCCTGTTAACGGCGCACGGGTAATATCCCGTTTCCACCGTTCTTCTTCAGGAACCAGTACCGCAATTAATCCAGATTGCATTTAATCTTCCTGCTTCTGGTCTGATAAAACAGCTCCAAACTGTTTTCCATATTAAACTGACACCAGAGATATTCAGACTGGAACATTTGATAACAATTTACAAGTTATTTTTATAAATTCTTTGTTATTATATTCACAGGTTTCTGGTCTTTTGCTTGTTTTTCCATACTGTGGATCTCCACTTTTTGCTTTGAAACTTCATTTTAAGATTATAGCAGCTATATTCTGCTCAGGATGTGGACTGCTCCATTCAGTAAGGGGGGATAATCAGAGGGAACCGTTGCATCCAAGTATGGACCCTGCTTAGCTTCTTAGATGTGACACGATCGAGCTCTATACCGTGCTGCCTACCCGCCAATGTAATAGGATTAAGATTTCAAAAATCTGAACCAAAGCATATATCTTTTTTGCTTTAGCCACATCAGCAATGCAATAATCATTGTTTTGCAAAAATGGCTCACATCTGGTTTCAAGCCCTCATTAACAATAGTCATGTGTGCGAGCAAATAGCCTAATCATGTTTTATTCTGGGGGGGGGGGGAACACTCCACTCCGGGACACTCTGGGAGAACATGGTTTGATTCTCCGCTCCTCCACTTGCAGCTGCTGGATGACCTTGGGCAAGCCATAGTTCTGTCAGAGCTGTTCCTGAAAGAGCCGTTCTTGAAAGAGCTCTCTCAGCCCCGCCTACCTCACAGGGTGTCTGTTGTGGGAAGGGGAAGGAGAATGTAAGCCGCTCTGAGGCGCCAAGTGAAGGGCGGAGTATAAATCCAATCTCCTCTTCTTAAGTGAGAGTCAGTTCTGTGGACATTACTCAGTAAACATGAAGATTTGTAGCCATCCCATACACTTTTAATTAAGCCGGGTAGCTATGTTAGTCTGTTGCAGAAGAAAAGAGCAAGTTTGGTGTAGCAGTCAGGGGTCATTTCCTGCAGGAGCGCACAGGAGCGGAGCCCCTGCAGTAAAGAGCCCAGGGGGCGGACACATGCAACAAGCCCCACCCCCTGCTCCCAGCAGCCCTCAGTCAGAGCAAGAAGCAGCCAGGTAAGTTGCAGAGCTCCCCCTGGCCCCCCTCAGCCCAAAACAGTCCAGTGGGACCTTTAAGACCAAGTTTTATTCAGGTACAAGCTCTCCCTCCTCTGCGAGGACAGATCTGCACATTCCTCCCCCCCCCCAATAGCTAGCAATCCAAAACAGTCCCGTGGAGCCTGAGCGGTGGGTGTTGCTTTCTGACACACTTCTGGAGATGTCAAAGGGTGTGGCATATGCAAATAAGTTATGCTAATGAGTTATGCTGTTGAGCTCCTGCGCCTCTTTTTCTACGAAATGACCCCTGGTAGCAGTTAAGACTCCGAGTGAAGGACAGGGTATAAATTCAATCTCCTCCTCTCCTCCAAGACGTCCTGCAGCACCCTAAGGTCCAGCAGTACCTTAAAGTCTAACAAGATTTCTGGCAGGTAGGAACTTTTGTGAGTGCCAATGCGCAGTGCCTCACGGAAGCTCATCCCCTGCCACAAATGTTGTTAGTCTTTAAGGTGTTGCTGGACTCTTGCGCTTGTCTATGTTTAATTTAGTTCTCCTGTGTTCTGTGGGGTTTTCTCCCAATCAGTTGCTTGTGATCCTGGGAATGTTTTTGTGCAAGAAAATCCCATGGAGCTCCACCTGATCGATGCCAGAGAACCGGTGTGCAGAGGATTGCCGAAAGTCACACCCGACCATGTCCCAAAGACACCCTGAGTAATTCTCGGGGATTTGCATGCACCTGGGAACGTCACTCAATGCAGATTTTAGGCAAAGCAGATGGCACATTTGCATCACAGACACAAACGGTGGAAGGAAGCGAAGTGAAAAACTTCTTCTCTTAGATGTTATATTTTGTAATCTTGGTATTCTCCTGGGAGCTAAATACCAAACGAAACTGAGACGACTGAGAGGTGATGTGATAACCATCTTCAAGTACTTGAAGGGCTGTCATATAGAAGATGGGGCAGAGTTGTTGTTTGTTGCCCCAGAAGGTCGGATCAGAACCAGTGGGTTGAAATTAAATCAGAAGAGTTTTCAGCTAGACATTAGGAAGAACTTCCTGACAGAGTGATTCATTAGTGGAACAGGCTTCCTTGGGAGGTGGTGGGCTCTCCTTCTTTGGAGGTTTTCCAACAGAGGCTGGATGGCCATCTGATAGCAATGCTGATTGTGTGAACTTGGGCAGATCATGAGAGGGAGGATGGGAAGGGTTCCCTCAGTGCTTAGTTCCTGTGGCCCTTTCTCACACACCCAGGGAAATGCTGTTCGCCACTTTAGAATCAGGAAGCAATTTTTCTCCAGGCCAGTTTTGGCCAGGGATCCTGGAAGTTTTTTGTCATCTTCTGGGTGTGGAACAGCAGTCCCTGGGGGTGTTGGAGGAAGGTATTTGTGATTTCCCTGCATTGTGCAGGGGGTTGGACTAAATTACCCCAGAGACCCCTTCCAGCTCTATGATTCCGTGAGTAGCAGTAGTTACTCATCATGCTGAACCACCAAAGAAATCCCTTATTTGCTCTTGGCTTTGTAAACCGGGCTACTAGGGACACAGCCTTTCAGACAAAGTGTATAGACCTCAGAAGGCAAACACCTCCTCGGTCTTCCTCGTCACAGACACACCTCAATCCCACAGTCCGGCTGCTCACCCCACCCAGGAGAACTCACGTCACAGGCAGTGCTCCCTTCTAAGCTGTGGAGTCTCGTGAGCAAAAATTCTCCTTTGTGAGCGACCGGCATTAAAGTTGTGAGCGAGCGGTTTGGCTGCTGCATGAATTAGTTTGCTCTGGAGCCAACCTTCCTGAGCTAAGGC